AAGGACAACTGCACCCTCGACGTGAAGGCCATCGAGGGAAACTGGCTTGGCGTACGTGATAGACCCATCCGCGTCGTCGACACGCCGGGACACGGAGACGGGAAGAACCGCGGCTCGGAACACAGACGCAAAATAGTGAAATCTCTGGAAGGAGAGAAAACGGTACACGCCTTCGTGTGGGTCAAGAACTCCAAGCACCCGACGTTAAACCTACAGGAAGCCGTTTCTTTCAAGTTCATTTCGGAGATTTTCCACAACCTAGCCGTCGTCTTCACCCGATCGGACGAAAAACAGCCGACCGATACCGGAATCGCTTTGGAAGAATTGAAGAAGGAGCTCTGGAATTCCGTCACCGGCGGTCTCGAAACCAAGCCGGAGATCCCCATGATTTCCATCGACGAGAAATCGAACGCGCATGACGGAGAGTTTCTCTCGGAATTGAACGCTCTCTGGAATGCAATCGTCAACTTCGGCGCCGTGCCGGTGCGACTCCTCGATACCGTCCTCGCGAAAATAGAGAATGGAGAGAAAGTCGCAGAAGAATACGAGCAGGCTTTGCAAGAAAAACAGAAGCAACTCCAACCGAACGAGGAGTCTCGAATGAAATATGAGAAACAAGTCGAGGAATTGAAGAAACAAGCCGAAGAATCAAAGAAACAAGCCGAGGAATCAAAGAAACAAGCCGAAGAATCAAAGAAACAAGCCGAAGAATCAAAGAAACAAGCCGAAGAATCAAAGAAACAAGCCGAAGAATCAAAGAAACAACTGGAGCAGGCTCGAAAGGAAAACGAGCGGCAATCGGCGGAAACGAAAGAAGAATTTGATCGCGCCCGAGAGGAAACCCTGAAACTAAAGGAGATCCTCCACGAACTATCCCAAGCATCCGCATGGTCCTCGGACTTAACAGCGCTCCTGGTCTTAGCATCCATCGAAATTCTTGTAACCATCGCAGCCCTCGTCTGCTGCTCACGGTCTTGCCGTCGCAGAGTCTTGATCCCAGCCGCTTCGCCTCGCTCGAAATGAAAATGAAATGAAAAATTTTCCTCACCGATTCCCAGCCTCTCGTCGCTTCTCAGCTTGAAAGGAACGTTCGCAAACTTCCGCAATTGCTGATGTTTTTCACGATGTGAACAGTGCCGGCGTTCAAGGGGCCCTAAGATTCTGACGAGCCAATGAAACCGAAAAGGAATAAACATTGACTTTTCATTCCATACGAAAAATGTTATTTGGTTCCTAGATCGGCGACGTAAGTCGAGACAGATTTTCCCATAAACGCTATGTTAAAATGTGGAGTGTGGTTCCAGACTGTATTGGGTCTGGGGGCAAACGACAAAAAGTAAAAAAAAGTCGGGGGATGACTGTATTCGCTTTGCCGATTATTAGGGGACAAATGGAAATTTTGCCTTTCATCGTGGCAGAAAGAATAATGTTTTTTTTTTTCAAAATATTTTCACCATATTGCAACTTCCAGAAGGCTGAGCATTTAAGATTTTTTATTTCATTTCTCCACGTTTCATACACATCCAGGAAAATTTCCTGCTTTTCCTGTCATAGCCGAATCTCCACCGTGAAGAAAATAAGGAAACCGCTCACCCACTAGTTTCTTAAGTTTACTTCTATTTTTTTTTACTATTTTTTTTTATGAGGCAGTTTTTCAGAAATGTTTTTCAGCTTAGCTCATTTCTTCATGGGTTTTCACAATTCACGTATTCGCAGGCAATTGTGGATTTTAATTGGAAATATCGAGAAGCAAAAACGTTCTTCGGAAAGAGATGGTGCGGAAGCATTAAATAAAGGCGTTCATGAAGGCCATCACTTCAAAGGACAGTCTCTTAAAGGACAGACATTTCGACATCTTTTGAGTCTGATGAGCCATGTTGTTATTGCTACATTTCCTTTTCAGATTCGCTGTAATGATAATAGAACACCATTTTTCTCAATGAATTGCTAATTGCTGCAAGCTAATGCTTGTAGCAATTCTAATGCACGAGGGAATAATAATTTTTTTTTAAATAGATTTTCGTGGATTTTTCAAAAGGTAGCACCGATTTTTCATCAAGTTAAGGCAGACTTGTCGCTACAGATACAGGCGGCAGCCGAATATTCATAATAATAATAATAATTCACCTCCCAACGGAAAAGCAAAAAAAGTGGTTTTTCTCCTTTCTCTCGCCCACGAAATATAAAATCCTCGCGGATTTTCCCCTTCACAAATATTTCGGTTCTGGCGATCGGCAAAATGATCAGTGCTTCAAGCAGATAATATATTTTTATTATTTTTTTTTCGCGGCAGATCAGACCGTGCGAGGTGCTTTTTAAGCATGGTGCGATAAAATTTTGTTGTTATATAAACTTTGTTGAATAGAAATCCAAAATGCGACGTGTAATCTAGGTGATCCTGGCAAGAAAGCCAAGCACAAATTATCATTTAGATGCTATTGGCAAGGAATCTAGAGGAAAATTGTCATCTATATGCTATTGGCATTAAAGCTAAAAACAAATTGTGTCCTAAACGCTGCTCACTAGAGAGTCAGCAACAATTCACCGTCTAGAAGCTCCGCACAACGAGTATCACAAGGTAAAGAAATCATCGAGTTGCTCCTGACAAGAAAGCCAAGGGCAAGGACTCAGCCAGCTACCAAAAAGAAGTGATATCTGCACACGGCAGGCCAATAAAAAGTTCAGCCAGTGAAAAATTTCCAACATCAAGAAACCCATCGACAACAAATCGATCCCGTTCGCCACAACGAAAGGGAAATGAAATCCGCCCGTGAACCTCCAAGAAGGTGGGACGATTACAGGGCATCCACGAAAAGCGACGCTGAAGACGACATCCGCCCGCTCGACCGCCAGACGAGCGGAGCGCCTCCATCTGACCTCCATCCCTCTGGCCTCCATCCCTCTGGCCTCCATCCCTCTGGCCTCCATCCCTCTGGCCTCCATCCCTCTGGCCTCCATCCCGACAACGGACAACCGTCATCGATCGTTCAACAGCAATCTCGAGGGCCCCTCGCCGAAGCGTGGGGCAAAATCCTCTGCTATGATGGTGAAGTTTTTTTTTATGAGTGATGTGGGCTTGACAGTTTTTTTTTATATAAATGTTCATAGTCATAATGTCGTCGTTCTATCTATCCCACCTTGATGAAAATTTCCGAGTTTCTGCGAGATTCATTTCCCTCGCATTTTCGCAACAGCATTTACTTATTGCCGATCGTTTTCCTGTGGTATCAATTTTTCAATGGCTCTTTTTTTCGCCCAGTGTGCAAAAGCCAATACCAAAGGCCTAAAGTAGCCTGAAGTCAGAAAAAATTCACCCACTACATTCTACTGATGCGAAAGAGAAAGACGATATCATCTACACGCTGCTGAGAAAAATTCAAAGTGCGATACGTCATCTAGATGCAGCTTGACCGGAAATCAAAATAAGACAAAAGGAATTCCAGGATCTTCCAAATTTTTTCGCCGCTCCCAGATCTTCCGAAGTCGCGGAAATTCCCTCGACCATTCCAAAAAGCGATTCAGGGCACGGAGCCGAAGACGGCCACTTCCTCCACGAGCAAGGCGGTGCTCACGCCCCACATGCTCTGCACGAGCACGTACCGCCCCGTGACGGGGACGGGCGAGCAGGGGACGTGCAGCACGCTCAGCGACTTCCACCAGTTGGTCTCCCGGACGGATCTGCAGAGCGCCATGGCGGATATCTCCGACTGGGTCGCGGTGCTCAGCAGGTTCGTGTTCGACACGCGCACGTCGACCGTGCCCATCGCCAAGTCTGCGAAGGAAAAGTAATTCCAGTTTTCATATAACCTAGTTTTTGTTTTTAAATTTTATTAACCTGTGTACGAATGGTTTGATGTTGCAGCAAAAAAAAATTTCGGTTTGGAGCGAAAAAGAACACGATTGAAACTAAGGAATCGAGGATATGCATCTTAATTATCATCGCGGAAGGATGTCTATGAAAAGAGCGGCAAACGGAAAAGCAACTGGAAATAACTAAGCACATCAGCTTATTTTCTGTTCCACTGACTTAAAACGGACCGGTATCCACTGTTATCTTCAGAAGCAAACCAATTTTGACTTTGGGCGGAAATTTCATTTTTACGCACATGTCTTGAAAATTGTTTTCATCCGGAAGCGATGCAATTCGGCACTGCACGCAGTTCCCATATGAAAAGCCATACACATGGAAAAACCACGGCGCTTGGTTTGACAAGTTATAAAAGAAAGCTTTTTCCTGTGAGAGTCATTAACTTGGAAAGTCTAAGGACGCTTCATTTGGTAAGATGAAGCCCGTACGAAACGCAGGCGAATATCAACGCTTCATTCGCAACGAAGCGACAAGAGTCATCAGACTTTAAATAGAGTCCGATCGCTTTCCTTCCCTGCCTCACCTTCCTCTTCGTCCCCATTGCTCCGTTTTCCCTCCCTTTTCCCGTCGCGGCCGAAGACTTACTGGTCCACTGGCTGTTCATGAGAAGGACGCTGGTGACGGTGTAGCTCGCCCCGAGATCCAACTGGAACCACGGCTGCATCATCGGGTTCACCTCCACCCACCTGCACCCACAGACACGAACACCTCCCACCGGAACCTCCTCTCCGCGGAACCCGAGGACGAAGGAACTCACGAGTTGGACTTCTTCTCGCAGACGTCGTTGTTGAGGCACCAGTCCCCGCCCTGCGTGTTCTTCACGTCGCAGCCGGCCTTGGTCGGCGGGCTCACGTGCGACCCATTCGCCGAGATCGCCACTCGAGCTGCAGATTTCACCGCAATCCCCGCAGTCGTCAGGTCGGCATCCCATCTTTCGGTTCTCATCGAATTTTCGACAATAAGTGGCAAATAGCTGCGAGATCCTTCAATCTTTCTCTGGGATTTCAGTAAAAACTTTATTCCGCGTCGAAAGGCAGCCCTCGACTTCAATCAAGGAAAAATTTATTGCAAATTAATGATAATTTTTTTGCTGACAAAATTTATTGCAAATTAATGTTAAAATTTTTGCTGAAAAAAAATTTTTCACAAATTTTTCAGCTTCTCAACATTTTTGTCATTTTTACGCATTTCCTGTTTTAATTCGTTTTCTCTTTCATTTCCCCCATGTTTTGCACGCAATTTTTGCATTTGTTCCATTTTCCTCCACATTTTTTCACCACTTTCAGTGTCGATTTCCGCTGGGCTGTGAAATTCAAACTTGTTGTTCCAAAGAATCCCGTATTCTAGAAAAGTTTGTCCAAATTCGGACCCTTCAATCGTTTGCAGGCATAATTACCTGCCCCCATCGGCTCGACATCGCTGGACGAGATCGGCCGTTAAGGGCTGTAGGGAGATAATTTCGTTTGGCTATTTGGCTATTTATGTGGCTATTTTCAGCTTCTAGAGGAAGGGGCCCAATCGACTTTGAAAGCCAAAAAAGACTGGAGGATGCAGACAATTTCAATATTTGAATTTTAATATTGGAATTTTAATGTTGGAATTTCAATATTGGAATTTTAATATTGGAATTTTAATATTGGAATTTCAATCTTGGAATTTTAATATTGGAATTTCAATCTTGGAATTTTAATATTGGAATTTCAATCTTGGAATTTTAATATTGGAATTTTAATATTGGAATTTCAATATTGGAATTTTAATATTGGAATTTTAATATTGGAATTTTAATATTGGAATTTCAATATTGGAATTTCAATATTGGAATTTTTATTCTACAAATTGAAATAGTGGAGCGTCTGATTCTCACGTCTCAGAGCACTTCTCAGTCATCACATAGGAAAGGCAAGTATTTAATTCTTCCCTTCAAAGGATGTCCCAAAAGTAATAATAATAATAATAATAATAAAAACAAGAGCAGATTAATAGGAAAAAATCCCATCGAGGTCGACAATCGAAGAAAATCTCTCAATGAAATTACTGCAACTGTCCCAAGACTTTTGGGAGGAAGACAAGTCCCATGTCATGATTGACTTGTCTTTTGTGTCTCGTTGTCTTACGTCCAATGTATTGGCAGATCCCCTTGTATTTGGAGTTTCTCGTGTCGGTGACCCAAAGGCCGCCGGCCGTGCCGTCCAGGAAAACCGCCCGGTCGTTGGTGAATTTGGGCTCGCCGGTCCCCCAGCCGGAATACCCGACGCCGCCCGACCCTGTCGCGAAACGCAATTACCACAGCCGAAGAGTAATCGACATATATATATATACAGGGCCGTCGAGGTAAATCCGGAAAATTGAGTTTAAGTACAAAAACCGTCAAAACACGAAATAGAATCAGTTTATTTGCACACAACTTGGCACAATTGTTGGAAATATGTTCCTCATTGAAATTATTCGATGTAATCGCCGTCAGCTTCGACGACCTGCTCAAGCCTGCTCCGGAACCGACTACATGCGCGTTTTCCCTCTTCCTTGTCCATGTTGGTCATTACCTCGGAAATGGTGGCCTTCAGGGCGTCCTTGGTGTTATGGGATTTTGCATTGACCTTCCCTTCAACTACGCCCCATACGTAGTAGTCAAGGGGATTGCAGTCCGGGCTAGACGGTGGCCACAAATCGGGAGACCAGT